GGTTTGTCACCGTGTGAGACGTGGTTGCAGACTACTTTCTACCTTTTCGTCAATCTATATTTCCATCATGTATTAGGTCGCGTTTTGAACAACGGAAGTGGAAGTGTTTGGACCATCGAGCTTTGGAACCAGAAGTATCTAAATCAGCTAGTGCCGTATTTATATTACATGTATGACCGCGCAACTATTGCTTGAGAGAAGTTACAGCGAAAACGTTTCATCGCGACTTCTTCGTTTGGTTTTGTTCTTTCCTTCGATCTAAGAGACGGAGCCTTTTGTAAACTTGTTCAGTCATTTGCTGATTTGCATTTGCAGCAAGCTCCGCCCMAAAATAACAATTTCTTTTGAACATTGATTGAGGTCTGTTTTTCTGGAAACTGAGCCTACATTAAACTCGGCACAAGTGAGATAGGGCTCGCCGTACTATTTCTTAAACAATAGCGGTTTTGTTTTGAGGTTTGTTCCTGATTTACCATGCAAATGTTAATTAATGACCTGTTACTGAGTGGGATGAAGTTGGAATCCTGGAAGAATCTAAATTTTTCTACCGGAAGTAAAGTCGAAAATTATTTACAAAAAARTTATTTTGAACTGTTTAAAGATCAAGAGAAAATGCATGAAATACATATAAACAAAAGAATTATCATTGCGTCACTATTTTTGCTTTGTGTCGTCTTTGGGCAGAGCCAATGTATTTTGAATGTAAATTTTATAATAACGCGAGCTGACCAATGAGGAGACAGTATTTACTGACCTCAAAACTCACCACAATAGTCACGTGGTTTGCAAATTACAGCAAGGAAGAGAAAGTCCGCCATTTTCGTGTTCTCAGGAACACAATCAGAGGAACTAAGTTGGGTTGTTTTAGCGTCTATTAAGATGTTACTTTCGATACTATTTTCAATCAACCTTCTTACGGTAAGTGAAATGTAGATAATTTGCGAACGAAGTACCGAATCATGTCGAAGAAGATGCGCCTTGTAGCTGAATATGAAYGACTCTTCGACTTGAATCGGGTGATGTTCGAATTGATTTGTTTGTATCTAAACTAACGGAAATTATACATGTAAAATTAGTGTGTTTTATATTAATTCTAGCTTTTAGTTACTCTGTAATGACTTAAGTGTTGTGAAACCGAATTTAGCGGAGAAACTTGGCCTACATGCGCTCGAWGCTTGTGTTACAAAATCGAACGTGTGCCATGTACGATTGAGTTGGTGTAACTATAGACCGAACGTCGCCGTTTATCACTAAGAGCATAACTTTTCTTAATCCAACTCACTTGTTATCTTTTTTATTTAGCTCGTTTCCTTAGKATTTTCAACGTATAATGTTTTTGTTTTGAAATACGATACCGTAGAGGAACATGTGGAAAGTTGTACGCTCACAACAAAGCGATATATTTCTCTGTTTGGACTACGTTATCGTTAAATATTTGGATAACTAAGCGACGAATTTTAATAAGAAAGCCGTTTTTTGAGCACAAGTCAATGAGTTTACTTAAATTTAACATTCTCTTATAATTTTCGATTGTTGATTTTCAAATCTGGCTTTTTTTTGTGGATGTGTAGAACAAAAAGGCAGTTTCTGTTATGGCAATCTACATGAAAATATTTGTCGATCTCAGCGAATTGCTCTAAACTTTCTAAACTTGTCGATTGAAACTCCAATTCGACAACCAAAGAAAGAAAACCTTCGCTTCATCGTTTGATAATATTTGGGTATGGTCTAACTTGGGAGGGACGTTAAATAGTTGTTTAAATCGAAAAGTCTGAAAACTTCTACTTCGTCAATATTCATCGATTAGGTTGTGGTAAATGAAGACATATTTAATATCAATTCTCAATTTATTTGTTAGATATTGAGGTAAATTATGGTGCCTCACGAAAAAATTGATAGTCAAAATTGGACCAGCATTTTCTCCTCGCAATATTTTAGTAACTTTCTAATTTTAGATCTGGTATTCCCCATAAAGCGATTGTGCAGTAGTTTTGAATCTGCTCAACATGATATCTGGATAGTTACATTCCAATTTTTCATTCAGGCTATTTTCAATATTGATTAGATTTTCTGTGTCTTTTCTCTATATCATGACATTGTTCTCCATTGATTTGAATCAACATTTTTTCTTACTTTTTCTTTTTTAAATTGTAAACAATCATATTTCTTAATTAAAACTGGTTTGGGGTTCTTGGGAATTCATATTATTTAAGTCAGGGTAGTGATCAAGTTTTAAATTGTATTTTTCACCAATAATCCTGTTAAAGTTCTTTGTATTATTGAATTGTCAATCTTGAATGAGATAATTTTGCTTGGATGGATATCCAAGTGTTATGTTCACTGGTTCTCATTGGTAGCWTTGAAGAAAATTATCCCATCTGTTTCTTGATGATAATTATTATGTTGGTGCCTTATTTGTTTCTGTTTTCAATCAATAATTTATTAGTGGCAAGCTTTCATTTGAATTCTTATAAGTCCTTTCTCTCAATACATTGTTTGTTTTTGTATTGAAGTCAAAAACCTATACTTCTTTCCACAAGTGCAGTATTGTAATAGTATTACATAGAATATTTTGCTATAAATTTCCTTGAATTTCTTTATTACATACAAAACATATAGATTTAAGCGTGATAAATTAAGCCTGCAAATGCATTTCTCACCTAATATAGCACTTGCTTTCAAACCAATCTTCTTTGTGCAATATAACTAGTGATTATTTCTTAATATATTGATACTTGGTATATCTGAAGTAATTTCTTCCCAGTCAAAATCCATAAATGCTATCTCTAGATGTCTTACTCTCACTAACTTAAAGTATAGCCTAACCTGCCTCAATCAGTTAGGAATGTAAATTTCTTTCTATATATTAAAAAATGCTGCAGTAAGTAAAACTGGGTATTTTTGAAAGTAATTCCACACTATCCCAGCTCAATATTCAGTTGCCTTGGTTACCAACATCATTAAGTGAAATGTTCTGTTTTAGATTAATTTTGTCAGCATATTCCTTGAGATTGATAGCTCTATTATCATATGAAGCAATTAGATATTTTTTAGATAATAAGTAGTGTTTTTTTTGGTTAAATCATTTACTTGTTTTATTTTGAGGATTAATGTAATTCCCAGCAGTTTTCACATAATTTTACATTATCCAGTTCCAATTGCTATTCCATGTGATAGTATTTTCTAGATTGATTTGGCAACAAAAGATGTTTCAATTTTGATAACAATACTCTGAAGTATACAATGCAAAATTTCATGTTCTTTAAGGTATATGAARTCATGCTGGGAATAGAATAGAATAGAATAATATATTATACACTTGAACTGTACTCTCATTATCTACATTAAATATTGTGCACTTTGCACAATAATTATTAATGAAAGAATAATAATTCTGTAGATGTAAAAAGTTGTTTTGACACCATCCTGTTTATGTTAATCAAAAAACCTATGTTTTATCTATTATACTTGTACATTATTTCATAATATATGAGGAGGAAGACACCTCTGCCCTTTAGAGAAACAAATAATAGATTATAAGTCTTTTTGTTGCCAAGATTAGAGATAGGTCTAATTTTGTACAAATGTGAGATTATTTTGGCTATGTCAGTATCTGGAATATATAATAATAAACAATCATTTTGATATTTCAAATATTATATTGTTCATATTGTTGTAAATTTCAGGTCCTTTGTACCGTAACAGCAGAAGAATCTAAACATGAAGCTAAGGTAGCRTTTTGGTGTGGCAAAGTRAATCAGCATGTTGACCTGAAGACTGGAGAGTGGAAGACAGATGACAATGGTCGGTCAATGTGTGCTACTAGCAAAGCAGAAGTTYTCCTGTAAGTCACATTATAGAGTCAAATCCATCAGTACATGTAGGAATCATATCATATATAAAATAAAACATCAAAACTTAAAAGCTAACAGGGAAGGCAGAGACAAACAAGAGAAGTACACTTAATTGTGACAATAACAACTTTGTTTTTAAAAGAAATAGAGCATTTGYAGTTAATGACAAACACATCTCAACGTGGGAACCAAACATTGGTTTCTAGATCCCTTTAAAACAGCGAAGTTCTGTTTGTTTTCACTCCCAGATGACTCAAATACTTTGACATCACAAACAAGGGGTCTACAATAATGGCTCCATATTATTCATGGAATGATAAGATTAGGAGGGTTTGTGCCACTCCTCGAAAAGCCATAGAATTGAAAAATTGTTTTCAAGGGCACTTGAGAAGCCCTTGAAAATACATAAAATGCTAAATCTCCTTAATAATACTACTTGAAWCTAATAAAATTGACATATTGTCTTTTAACTCCACTTCTATCATAAAATATGTTAAAAAAAACACACACACATTTTTGTGCTTAAAAAGTACTTGGAAATTCCTGGAATTTTGTGGTGAAAATGTTACATGAACACTGGACTAGAATTTATGATAACAACAAATGATATTTCTGTAGATTGTTTTTTTTTTATGTTTTTATATATTTTGTGTTTATATTATCTTTTTTATAAGTTATATTTGTTAAATCTTTAGGTATTGCCAGCATACTTATCCTTCATTGAAGATCACCAACATTGTGGAGGACAACAATCCTGTTGTTATTAACCACTGGTGTGGTCCCAAGAATGTCAATTGCAGCAGCACCAAATCAGTTGTGGCATACAGATGTCTAGGTATGAAAATTACTTCCTTTTAAATTTATGCTTTACTGTGAGAAATACTATTAAATGTAGAGTGAAAAAAAACACACACAGACACACACACAAAAAACACAAAATCTTTAGCAATTCCAAAATCGTTTGCAATTTTCAATGTGAAATAATCTRTTTTCAACTTCATGCTTTTTATAATTTTAACAGATAATTTTTGATTTATAGTTGGCCCATTTGAGGCTGATGCCTTACTAGTGCCTAAAGGCTGCCGATTTGGTCATCTTCACAAGGGCAGCAAGTGCAAAGACCATGATCACTGGCACAAAAAGGCACAAGACAAGTGTGAAGATCAAGATATGAAACTCAAGAACTATGGTATCTTGATCCCCTGTGGAAAAGGCATGTTCACAGGAGTTGAATATGTTTGCTGTCCAAAGGACATGAAAACAGAGAAGCCTAAAGAAGAGCATCCAGTCAGGAAGCTTATTGGTGGATCGGAAGATGTTGATATGCCTAAGACGACAAAGCGCCCATTGACTTTGATTGAAAAGTTGGAGGAAGAAACAAAGAATTATCCTAAGCACCTGTTAGGCAAGTTGATTGGTAYGTAGTCATTTAAGAAAGGATAAAAATGGATGATAAAATCAAGCAAATTGTTTGTAAATTATGATGATCAGTATTAATAGTATTCTAGTCTYACGTTGTTGCTTGTTACTAAACCAGGCTGTAATCACAAGAAATATCATCAGCAACGTCAGAAGATTGAAGCTGAACATGACAAGCGCATGTCAAAAGTCATCAGAGAGTGGGARAATGCTGAGAAACGTTACAACATTTTAAAGGATGACGACTTGAAGCTGGCTGAAGAAATGTTAGCTGGTTAGTACATATAGCACAATGGAYGAATTGAGAGAGAATTCAGATCAAATTCAAGTCACAYATAAAGTTGTTGACAGWAGTGAAATGCCTTGTAGATGAMGTTCCTTCTTGATTTTCATGCTTTTTTTTCTTTGTTCATTAGGTGTGCTTGAGCGTTTCAAGAAGATTGTTGCAATTTTGGAGCAACAAGTGAAGTTAGAACGTCTCAGCCTTCACGCCGAACATGCCCAGTGTATGCAGATTGATTTGAATGACAAGAAAAACAAAGTTTTGAGATCATTCTTGAAAGCTTTGAAGAGGAAGCCAGTCGATGAGAATGCTATTCTTAAAGCTATGAGAAAGTTCATCAATGTCAGTACTGAAGATCGCATTCATAAGTAAGTCTTGATGGAGATATTCGTATCTGACATTAAGCTYTAATGATGATGTCATCACTTATGATATGATAATAATAATGATAATGACAAATATACGTTAATAGTAATAGCTAAACAAAATCACAAGTTTGTGTCTAATGGCTTATTTTTTTTTCCTTTAGTCACAACCAGTTTGAGCGTATGATCAAGAATAAYCCTGACAAAGCTGAGAAACTGAGAAAATCTTTCCATGCCCACCTGAAATACATCAATGACAAAGTCAACCATACCATGCAGCTGTTGTACAAGGTTCCAAAGGTTGCTCGCAAATTTGTCATGGAACTACCACCATGGGCACCAAGACTGCATCTGGTAAATAACTTATTCATATTTCTTGGTATATCAATATTTAAGACTCGCAAGGAAGACATTCATGTTCATATTTCTGGTTTTCTTTTATGTTTTGTATTGTAAGTCAATTGTGTATTGTTTGTAATTGCAGCCAACARAGAAGCCCACAACAGCCCCAACAACCAAACCAATCAAGATCAAAATGGAGAAACTCATCTCAAGAGAAGAAAACAAAGTGTCGAGTAAACTCCATAGGGTACCYTATCATAAACTAAGAAATGATCACATGGGTGCAGCTCCGGCCCAGAAGCCTGATAATAAAGRTGATGACCCAGAAAACAAGCCTGAAAACGAAGAGTACTTTGAAGCCCCTCGATCTCCTGCTACTTTCGCAGTGGTGATTGGTTTGAGTTGTTGTGCCTTAGTAATCATGATCATCATTATCATTGCCATGGCCATGAGAAAGACAAGACTCAACAAGCCAACAAGAACTGTTCTTGTTGATCCTGATGTTGATCCAAATTCTGAGAAACAACACCTTGCGAACTTGCAGCAAAATGGGTATGAAAATCCCATCTATAAGCTCACTACTTATTAAAGCTTTTTTCGTTAACTAATAGAATAATTTAGATTGTGCAGCCCTACTGTAGATAGAAAAWGGTTAATATTGCACTAGGGTAGCAAGTAGAATTTGTCCCTTCTCAATATGTTCTTGTTGTAATGAGAACAAGGCAATGTGGTGAAATTAAGAATAATWGACTGCAATTGTTCATGATTTAGGTAACTATTACTAGTATAGTTGAGAATTAATTGCATCATTAGATAGTGTTTTTAGTCTGTTTAAGGTGTGCATGAAAACAGGGTTCACCTCCATTGACTCACCTTGTTGTTGTGTGAATGACCATAATAACAATTCAGTGCCATAAACAGACTATTAACATTTACCTGGTGCAATGACTGCACTAATAAGTATTGTAGAATAGATCACACACATCTAGCTTCAGTTTGTCAACATAAACATGAAATATTCCTCCTAGTAGTTGCAGCTTTTACAAAAAAAAAGACATAAAAACATATGTAAAGTTGCATGTTTTAAGGATTTGTAAGTAGTTTAAGTATTTAATGTTTGGTTGTAATTTTGTTTACAGTATATTTATCTTACATTATTTCTTATTACTAGACGATACTAGTGATATATAAATTACTCTCACTAGTATATTAGAAGCAATTTGGGTTTTGAATTTTGGTTTGGTTTTTTTGGTTTTCCATATTCTTTATCAGTGTCTAATTTCAACATGATGAAACATAACTGTAGGACATTTTAAGTATCACAAGTTTATATAATTGTGAGATAACAAGTTTGACATAACAGACATGCACAAAATAACTGACAACAAATAACGACCATCATCCTCAAACATCAACCTCACCATAAGCAGATGCCTCAAGGACTTGTTTATGTGAGATAACAAGGACGGTATATCACAWACTAGGAAACACAATCCAACAATAGAAACAACTGACAACATTACATAACATAGCAACATTGGTAGTGGGCTAAAAACAAGAATTTTGTAAGGCRGGTTTTTATTTTAGAAAAACAGTCACTTACAAACTTAACATTCAGCAAGGTAGACACTTCTGCTTTGAATTTAACAGACAATAGCATATTTATGAAGTTYCATACATCGTAAATGTGTGATTTTGAAATTAGACGCTGATTAAGATTTGTCAGTGTTATTATATAGTACWAAAATATGTATTTACTTCATTCTTATGCATAGCATGATAAAATATACTTACTGTGCTTGTAGAGTTGAATAAGAGCAATTAGTAAACCCATTATACTTGTATTTATCTGCAGTAAACCCGCTTTCATCCACAAGTGATTATAAAATTGCAATAAAGTTTTAGAATGCTACAATATTTCCCCCATTTAAATCTGGTTAAAGTTCTCTGTTGAGACAAGCCAGGTTGTTGACCTGTAAATTGGCATCAGGCACAAGGTGGCAGGGCCATGGGTTCTATGAGTAATTCAGGACAAAATTAATAAAAATCAGGCTTTAGTCTYGTGCTAATCCAGTAGTCGTCATTCTAACATTTTACAATTGTTATTCACGTGTGGATTGAGATTGTCAATTGTAGTTTTAATAAACTTATTTATCTTGTACTTTTGTCATACTTGTTGATGTGCATGTGTGTGAATTTAGGAAGTTCCCATTTTGAGTGCTTGTTTTGATCATTGCAATAATGCACTAAGAGTGCATTGCTGTGCATTGTATTGTCCGAAATCTTGTTTCAATAAGGACTGCAAAGCCATATCAATGCACAATACTGATTGAAAACATGTCTCGATATCAGTCATCCCCTAAAACTTGCATTCTGACAAACTGAAACATTAAAACAGCCATTTTTTTATTTCCACTCATATTCAACTTTACTATACCTAAAACAATATTAAAATACTTTACTAATTCAACAAAACGTTCATATTTATATTCAACCCATGAATATGTTGGGTTTGATTCCCATTTTGTTGGTTACGTAATTCTGTGCAATTGCCGCTTCTCTCAGAGCGTACGTCTGTGCCATCTCTGCCTCTGTTCTTACAAGAAGTAAAGCTTGATCAAAGAGCTCAACTGCTTTGTCCAGGTTTCCCCTGGAAAACAAAGTTGATTATTACTCTGTGCTACACTGAAGATGAACACAATTTGTGTACTGTTAAGAGATAATCTCCTCCACAAACAACATTCTGATTCTATACTTTTGCTTTGGGTCATGTGTTGAGAATAAGGGAGGAATCCCACATTCATTCCACAGAAGGCCAAAGAAAGAAAATGTTGCSTATGGAGGAGATTGGGGAATGAAGTTTGAAAAGTATTTGAATAATTACAAAAGAAAAAAATGTGATTTTTGAATGTCTGAAATGTTACAGCAAGTCAAATGGAATGTTTGTATCTAGACATTAGACTAGTATTGTTATGGGCCAGGTTGCTCAAAGCTCAATGCTTATTCTGGGCTAAATCTTTAAAAAACCTTATAATGGAGATATTGGGCTTTGAACAGCCCAGTCCTGGACTGCTGATTGTACAAGAGAAAAAGAAAAACTTCTTACCTCTGTACTTCGAGTGTTGCTAGTGTTTCATAAGCAAAGTCACACTTTTTATCCAAGTCAATTGCTGACTGCACCAACTCAACAGCTTTTTCAAAATCTTGCTTCCATTGAACCATTAGTAAGCTAAACAACAAAGAATAATGAAGACTTTTTAAGATATTGCAACCAACATTTTTGTCATCTTTATGAAGAAATCTTTTTCAAACGCTGATAATAAGCAGTGAAATTTGAAAACAATCGAGTCTTGAACTATACCCCTTATAAACAAGATGAACTGGATTTTCAGGTTGAATTTTGTGTGCTGCTTCATATTTYTCCATGGCATCTTCAAACTGTCCTTGCTCTTGCAATGCCTGCAGAATTAAAGAAACCATTTTAGAAACAGTTGAATCAATGTCTGCAAACCAGTGACCAGTGGAAAAAGACAAAAATCAAACAATTTATTAGTCTTTACAGCGGTGGTGCAGTTCTCTACAAGTGTTTGATTGAGTCATTTGTGTTGTGGACTAAAGTGCTAAAAATGTTTAATTAAGAGGTTAGGAATAGTCATACCTGAGCATGTAAGCCAAGTGCATCAGGACTGTCAGGATGGTCTTTACTAATTCTCTCAAATTCCTCCATTGCACCTCGAGCCAGCGTTGGTGACTGCATTATTTGCGCCTTTTTATAAATGCAGTATGCTAGCTGTATTTTGGCTTGGACGAAATCTGGGTTTAATTCAATGCATTTTTCAAAGTCTAATCTTGCATCTTCTAGTTTTTCTGTCAGGAAATAAATCTATAACACCAAAATAATTATAATATTATTGAGATTCAAGTCAAAACATTACATCTTGGAAGAAAAGCAATTTCAAGGAAGGGAAGCCAATGTATTATAACGCTTACCAATCCTCTTTGATGGTAGATATCTGAGTTTGTAGAGTCTAGTGTTATTGCTGTCTGGAAATCACTCTCTACATCATTATCTAATGTCCCTTGTTGAGCCTTAAGGCTTGCTCTTTTTAAAAGACAGTTAATCTTCAACTAAAAAAATACAAACTTGGTTAAAGAACAACGTTAAGCTCTATACAATCATTATATAAACCTCAACTGTCATTAAAAACTACCTTAATGCTAGCTTTGTCATCATTCATGTTGATAACCTCATCCAAATCACACATAGCATCATCAATTTGTGACATTAATGTGTACATTGTGGCTCTAAGAGCAACTGCTTTGGCATAGAATGGACTGTCTTCACCTGTTCAACAATAAAAGACCATCAGSRATGCTCACAAGGAACCTAASGTTGTCAATGGTTACCTCTTCCAATTTCTTGAGTACAGTATACTACTATATTATCAAAGTTTCTTTCTTTAATGTCATCTAATGCCAAGATGAAAGGCATGTCAGCTGTAACGCCTTCTTCATTTCTGACACTGTCTGACAACATATCATCTGTATAAAAAATAATGCTCATAAGATACTATTTGAGCATTTTATATCCCTTATAATCTTGAGCAATGTTTATTATTGTCATCATCAATTGTATATCTTAAAGTCTTATCATGGAAATTGTCAACATTTCATAATGACAGCACAATGGCATGCATAATTGCAATAAACAACAAACAGCATAAGCAYAGAACCTTACTAACACCCTAGAAACATTGAAATGAGAGAAGATCACAACTGCAATAAAAACGCATTGGAATCTGCTCTATTCTAAACAGTGTTTATACTATACTATTTGGTCATGGCAGCTATGATCATCATTGAACATGTCTAATGAAGTCCAATGAATTATAATGAACATACCTTGACTGTATGAATCAAGATAAGCTTTGATTGACACAGAGGAAGGAATAACAGGCTTACGATTCTGTTAAAGAATAAATTAATACAATAATTTATATACAATTCTCAGACATCACAATATAGAATAGCAATGTTCTTTAGTGATAATAAACACCAAGTTAATGTCTAGCTTTTGTTCAATATCATTGTTGTTGATGCTTTCGAGGTAATATAAGTAAGAATTATACCTTAAAATGTGTGCTAGCTTTTTCTTTCCCAATAGACTTTAGAACTCTATCAGCATGGACCATCCAGTCAGGGTTATTAAAACCTTCCAAGAGACAAACTGCTGTAAGATCTGAAAGAAAAACAGAATTATACATGATTTGTGAGTTGCTTGGACATGTATCTTGGCATGCAAAATAGTAAACCCTCCACACATTTTGTACAATTATTGAAATGTTTGCATTTCTCATTTCTACCTTGTAGACATTCCTCTTTTTTCCCTTGTTGTTCATATGCTCTTGCTCTTCTCATTAGTGCCTTTGTGTATCGATTATTTAATTCCAAAGCTGTGGGAAAAACATTCAATATTCAGGAAAAAATACTTGACTTGGAATACATGAATACTATATGTGAAGCACAGTTATAACAAATAATTATCTAATTATGAGAATCTCAGAGTSTACCTTAGAGTTTATCATCAACATATTTTCAAACAAACCTTTAGATGCCTCATTTATAACATTTTCAAATTGTCCCTAAAAAAACACAAGTTTATGATAATMATAATTAGAAAGACATGTAGAAGAGTTACATATGCATTTCTACTGCAYTATATAAAAAGTTAAAAGACTCAAATACATACTAAGATAATACTAGAATAACTACTTACCATCTGTTCAAATGCAGCAGCTCTGTTTTGATAAAAAGTAGAAAGGTCTGCTTTATTCTCTTCTGGGCAAAGCTCAATTGCTTCAGAATAACATTTGATAGCATCAGTAAATCTACGGGCTTTGAAGTATTTATTGCCTTTGAGTTTTGCAGCTTGTGCTTTTTCTGCAGGTGTCTAAAGAATCAACAGAAATACTCAGACTAAAATAATTTATAAAAAATAATTTGTTGTTTTGGCCATTCTTTTCAGTTCTACAAAAATGTTTCACTTGATGATTTTTAACATCCAGACTTACTAAAATTATTAAATGGAAACAACATTCAAAAAGCAATATTGCATATAAAAATGGTAAACATTGCATATTGTAGGAAATACAAATCCCAACTTTCCACAAAGAATTTTATCATTTTCCCACAATGCCACATAAGATATGGACAATCCTGTAATACTGATCAAACCCTAAATACAGAAAACTTCTATGTCAACACAAGTCAAATGACTATGCAGCTTTTWCAACTGTATTTTCTTGATATAAGAAATATTTATTATATTACATAAGAACTTAACTTATGTCAAAACTGGAGTCACGTGTGCTACTACGGTAATTTACTATGTCTTTTAACTTGGTAATATTACATATTGCAATACTTGCTTATAAAAAATACACTTGTCTTCGCATGTATATCAAGGCTTACCATATTTTCTACTTCATCTTTGTCCTCCTTAGGCTTTGACGGTTCCTTGTCCGGTATTTTGGCAGCACCCACATCTTCTTGGAGTTCCTCGTTTGCGTCGTCTGAACTATTGAGATACCAAATTACTCCTGCCACAGTTACAACGGCAACCGGAACACCAATGAGCAGGCCTAGTTGCCATTTGGTCAATCCTAAAGAAGTTTCTTGTTCACTCATGGCTGAGAAGAGCTAGAAATCTGTGCTAAAAAGTCGAAATTCAGCAAAATTAGCTGTCCGCAGCAGCCATGATGAAATGAGCGCAGTTGTTTCTGCGCATAAATTTTCCGTGGTTGGAACGCGGGCTCATACACMTTTCGTGCGAAATAACATAAGGGAAGAACTGCGCCATCTTGTTGTTCTTGGAGTTTRAGTGTCGTTTGTCAAAGAAGAATGCCAAAAACTACTAATATAGAAATAACAAAGCGATAAATGGCCCGTCTTTARCACATYTAGCTATTTTTCTTTGATTTCGTAATGTCTGGTCCMMGAATTACGCGGAAAGTGACGGTAGAAGTTGGCAAGAAAGTCACTGAGAACGTTCCTTCGTCTGTTGTTCAACAATCGGCGTCTTCTTCTTCATCGAGTAGCACACGAAGGAGTGTTTTTGACCGATTAGGACCCGGTGCTGTAGAGGTAGGATTTATCGTTATTCGTTGCGAAGTGTTGCTATAATATTGTATCAAATTCATGAAAATGTTTTGACAGATTGAGTCAATAGGCGTGTTATCAATACTGCTAGCACGTGATCCAAATACTATCAGTCCGTATATCACAAAATGTTAATATTTACCAATAAGAGTRGTCGTGATGGGATAGCTGACTGAAGATTAACTTTTGAATAATGCATTCTTGTGATATCAGTAATTTACATGTATTATATAAGTACCATCTTTGTTTGTTTGCTTGCTGTTTTTTATTTMTTTCTATGTAACTTAAGAACTTATAGCTTATATCTTCAATAGAGACCCAAAGCACGTGATACATACACACCAGATAAGTGTCGTAACTGGYTGCGTGATGGCAGATGCCCATATGGCAGTAACTGTAAATTCTTACATGGTCCATATACTGATCCAAAGCCAAGAACTAAAAGTGTGAGAAGTATTGTTCACAGTGGATCTAAAGACAGGTTCGTGGTGGCATCTTTCAAATATGTACCCATGCTTACATCTGTTTAATCACTCATTATTGTATTCAGTCCACTTTCTGCATCAGAAAATAAATATTATGGTTCATGCATACTCATTAATTGCAATTGTTGTAGTTAAAATCCATTCACCTATATATTTCAAATATAATAATTATAATCTTTCTTTCTTTCTTTTTTTGTTTCATATATTTAACATGAATGATTTATGCAGATATGATGATTCAGGTAAGATTTTTTTCTTTGTTTTTTTGTTTGATCTTCAATATGAACTGCAAACTTCAAGATTTAAAAAAGAATGAAATGATCAAAGAAAGGCCAAAACAAAATGAAGAAAGGCAGAAAGAATTGGAATTTAGTTGGGATGCATCATTTGATATACCTTTTGGCATTTTTTCAAAGATGAGAAACAGCAAATGTACCACTCCAGAAGCTTTGACAGTGCAGATTTTGATGATGAAGACATAAAAGAAACTCCTAAACTAAAGAGACGACACAAATCAGAAGAAGATCTATCAGACACATCCATCAAAAAGTCAACAAAAATAAAAAAGAAACGCAAGGAAGATGTTGATGAAGGTGAGCAGTATGCTGTTGACAATAATATATATTCAATCTTCTGAATTTTGTTCAGTAATTCTTCGCTCCTATCCATTAACATTCTTTTATTCTTTCATTTATTCATTCACACTATTTACTTAYTGATTGATTTCAATGTTTTCTGAAAAAGATGATGAAGCAAAAATTAAACGCAAGCGGAAGGCCCATCGAAAGCGAGAAGCCAGTCCGAAACTCCAGGCACGTGCTTCTAATGAAGATGAAGAAGATTATGACAGAGCTAAGAACGAGAGGGACTGGGAAGAGCATGGTGACCTTGACTTTGAGCGTCAGCTTGAATTAGAGAGGCGAAGACAAGATCTACAGAGACAGCTGGCACTAATGGACGAAGAGGATGCTGCAGCTAGTACTGGTGAAACTGAATGGAAAGGRAAAGAAAAAGAGGAGGATCATAGAAAGGTTCCYATCATTCATAGCAAACTGCATCCTCAACCATCCCCCTCGACTCCAGATGGAGATACTCCTACGCAAGTTGTCAAAAAGAAAAAGAAAAAGAAGCTCGATTCGGAAGGCAAGAAGATCAAAGYAAAGAAAGAAGCGTCTCCGAGGAAGAAAGAAGAAATCAAACATAACACAAGTGAAACAGTCGAAGACGATAACATGGTCAAAAAAGACGAGACAGTTGGTAAAAAGAAGAAGGCTGTTACAGAATACGCCGTGTCTAGTGATGAAGGTGATGGACATCCCACTGTTGGGAGGAATTCCAGAAAGGTTTCCCGACACGCAGATGAAGCTCAGCTCAATGAACCGCACGATAGTCCGCCAATCCAACGGCCCGATGAACGAAAACGACCCGAAGACGCCCAAATAAGGCATAAGCGAGAGGAAGCCAAGCCCACGAAAGACAGACGAAAAATTGAACTGAGTTCTGATGACCAGAGACTTGTCGATGAAGCTCGTCCACGACGACCACGTGAAACGAGTCAAGATTATTACCCTTCTACAGACGAACAAGACGAAGGAGGTAGAAAAGTGCGCGTGAGAGCAACTGGAGCGAGAAGACCTAACGAACCCAAACGTATCGATGAAGGAATAACTGAGGACAGAGGTAGACGTCGAGAGGGAGACTCGCGTGGACCGCGTACCCCCTCCCCTCCMGCTAATGCAAAGGATGATAGGTATTATTATGATGAACAACAGGATGATGCTAAAAAGAAAAGAGTGCCGCGTGGACCTCCTCGAAGTCCTCCRAGAGAACCCACGCGAGATGAATCAGTTCACCGAAAAGAGCAACGTGGWCGGSCAGACGATCCTCATATCAGAGGTCCTCGAACTCCTTCTGATGACGAAGGGCACTTCACTCCTCCACCAGGTCAAGTGGACAACAGCCGCAGTTCTCGATACGGAGAACGAGAGCGAGGACCACCACGACGRGAAGCTAGAGTACCATTAGGCGAWCAARGTGAACAGAGGTACCCCGACAGAGGAGGGCGTGGCAATATGGACACTGACTATGAAAGGAGAAAACCGCGCGAAGACGATATGCGTGGAAGAAGACCTCCGGACTATCCACGGAACCGAGAMGATGAATATCCGAAACACCGAGGACGTGACGATAATTACCCGAGAGASAATCGAGAGGAGGAGTTCCCTCGACATCGCGGAGAGCGTGAAGAAATCAAAGATGATCGTGACAARTACCGCGATGAAAGACCCGATGACTTTCCTGTCAGATCTCGTGCTCGAGATGAACCTGATTTCCCGCGAAGTCGAGGTCGAGATGAACGAGACGATGAAGTTAGAGGTCGTCCTCCGCAACGTGATGTTCACCGCAGAATGCATGACGATCCCGAGGAACGGGACAGACCCCGAGCTGACTACGACAGGTATTTATAACTCTTGCTTTTTGCCTGTTAATCGTCTTGTTTTTTTTTATTTTGTATAGCTGTATTCTGTTGTCTTTAATGTTATTATTGTTTCATTTTTTGCGCTGTTATAAATAGTTGAAGGTTTTAATTGTGTTTCCTCGTTGTTCAGTCGTGGTCGTTATGGACCTTCCCCAACCCAACCGCCGCCAAGAGGTCGTTCTCCACTACATCGTTATGAAGATCGGCGTCGACCTGACGAGACGTTTCGTTCTGGACCAGGAGGAAGAGATSCCCCTGGTAGAGGGCGAGCTGTCGGTAGAGGTAGAAGTGCCTATACCTCACCATATGATAGCAGAGGAAAGATGGTGGACACACGAAGACGATCACCTCCTCCACCCGGCCCTAGGTCTTCTTACCAAGACAGRGATCGTGGACCAYYACGAGGAAGGGATGTTCCTATTGGAAGAGGTACTCATCCTCCATCTTTTCTTTACGTCCGTCCTTTGTTTCCTTAGCTTTATAATCCTTTTTTTTGATATCAAATTTTCCTCTCTATTAGGAAGAGGATTCATGGAGAAAGGAAGACCTCCAAATGATCGSTATCGTGATCCAAGTGCACCATGGGATAGACGTGGGGAACGTGATTATCCTCCACGTGATCCAGCTGTTCGTGATCGTCGCGCGCGAGAATCCCCACCGCCACACCCAACGTATCGAGACGAAAGACCRTGGGAGGAGAATGAGAGAAGAGAAGCACCACAACGTCCTGGAAACTTTCCTGCACCGGAACGCCGTGGTCAGTATGATACCAATCATGATGGTAAAGCTAGAATRGTAAGCMGAGAACGGCATTCCTTGGAAYGTGGAGCTCCCGAATGGGAGTACGAGGACGATGCAAATCAAGCTAAACCCATACGGTAGGTTATTTCTATCCTCACATTATCATATATTAAAAATGTCTACTTTTCATTAACACTTGATTACAAATGATTACAGTAAACGTCCTCGACCCGTCGCCGGGAGATCTGAGTCTCCATTTGAAGCAAAGAAAGTTCGTGGTCAGTCCCCAATCTCYCCTGATGAAGGCCCTGATGTTGATGATGTTGCTGCTRCTGTCGCTGAACAGCCTGACAGACCCAAGAAAGCAGCAGTCGGTACTAAGGAAATCAAGAAAATTAAGAAAAAGAAGAAAGAAGGTAAAGTTGCAAAGGTGGCTGCTGTTGAAGGACAAGTCGAAGGTACTRCCACCGATGAAACTAAACCAATCAAAGGRGAGAAAAAGATCAAGAAAGAGAAAAAACTAAAGGAGAAAGGAGCYAAGAAGAAGAAGAAGATCGCAGTGACCGCCGCAGCCGCAGCCGCCCAAGCAGTTCCTCCATTAGAGGAAGTWGCAGGTGACGTACAGCCTGTGGGCGATATTGAACAAACGCCAACTGACAACGACGTTCAGCCTAAAATTGTCAAGAAACGTAAACAAGTTACTGCTACAGAWAATGACGCGCTGAAAGAGCCCGACAAACCCAAGAAAAAGAAGAAAAAGAAACATCAACCTGAGGTACTTGTACAACCTTGGAATGATCTAGAAGGCGAAGAAGACCAGCAAGAAGAGGCGCCAAAGGCTGACGAGAAACCAGTACCGGAAATYCCTCCAGAAAAGACTCAAGACGACGTGTTCAGTGACTGGAGCGACGATGATAGTCCTGTAGGTGATGACTCTTGGCTCGATCAAGACAATCAAGAMAGTCAGCAGTCAACTATCGAGAATAAAGACGAGCCAATCAAAGATTCTCCTGTGTCAGACCACAAGGGACCTTCGTTTGACGATGTKTACGATCCGATWAGTGACGACGAGTTTGACGCCATGTACACACATAGTGACGATGAGGAAATTACGAAAGAYGACAAAGAGACAACYAAGGCTTTGGGTGTGGAAGACGTTGATTGGAGYTCTTTGGGAATCTCTCATGATGTTAACAAAGGTAAAGCACAAACAATTCTCGTCGGTCCATCTTTTTATTCCATTATTRGAGAATTGCTTTCCTTGATTATTTTTTATTGCCTTATAGAAAAAGAACCAGTTTCACACTTAGAAAGATTCAAACCTTCATATGTTTTCTCTCGTATTGGTATATCRCCTGCCYTAGCTGGTCAGCGCCTGACTCAGCTTGTACTTGACGCATGCGCCAAAGCAAGCGACAGCGAGTCAAARAAAGGAGAACAACTTTGTATCCCAGAAGAGGGACCTAAAAGCATYGGTGCTTTTGTAGCWGCTGCKGCAGCTAAGAAGCGTGAGCGCGAAGGACTACTGGGTAATCTTGGCCCATGTCGACGGGCGCTGTGTGCTAGACGTGACTTAGCGATAAGAAAACAGCTTGGGAGATCKTCTAAGGTAAGAAATGGATCTAAATTAGGTCTCTAAATCACTAAATTATGCAAACTGTTGTAGTAAACATTTGTTTTTTGTATTTTCTAGTATGGTAAACTGTCCCTTTTCGCCGCATCACCGACAACACCAGGTGATAACGAACTGTTTCAAATGAGTGTTGCTCTCTATAAAAAAGAATCGGCGAACAATGATGGCGTTCGAATAATTCCCTCAAAAGTTGGGTCAATATTACTTTCTCAAGCATAATAAGAGCCGTATTATTGGGACTCCTGTGGTGTAAAATAGTCTGGTGGATTAGAGGCAACTAAAGTAATTGTGTCAGAATATATTTGTCATTATATTGAGGGATGTATGGGATTTACGAGTCCTGTCCAGTCAATCATGTTGCAGTATCGTAATCATACGTTTTGTAAAAATCAAATGTCAAAGTYAAACTTCATGTTTATTATTAAAAAACTGTACAAAAGCCTGAGAAATAGCATCAAGATCTGAATTGGTTGATTGTATTTCCCAGAAATAGTAAAAACTCTGAAAATCACATAAATATACGACCGTCACATTATCATAAAAGTCAATGTTAGTTTTATATATTGATCAAAAACAGCGCGTATGCATTTATTACTCGTTTGAAGCATGAGATTGTCAGCAGTTATTTTCAASTATTTAAGCGTGCGCATCATCATGTGATGTCATGTATTTCTGTCTAAGGTTGTCCCATAAGTAATAAAGGCCGAACGGTGCAAAGGCGATGACTAGTGCTAGATAAAGACATCCCACTAGGTCCATTGACTGTACTTTCGTATCTTGGCTATGTTTAACGATCTCTAACACTTTTACCGTTGCATTCATATCTAAAGAAATCATTGGAGAAATGAATGAAATGCCATGCCCGGTGATAAGGGTGCATGTCAGAGGTCTAGGGATGAATGGCAGAGCTGTAGTTATTTGAATCATTTCGACGGTTGTAGTTTATAACCAAGTCGCTAATTGTTTGATTCCTCGATCCCCTTGACCTGCCTGGTGCAAAACGCACATTTGCTAGTAGTTGGTAATTTTGTGGCTTTCACCGCTTTTGAAAAGACAGAAGTGATCAATTCTTAACTATACTTACCTACGATCAATTCGTTCGCGGTCAGGTTCAAATTGTACTTCCCATCATGCCTTAAATGATGAACAAGATGATCATGGAGGATTATTGTCCAGGTCGACTCGGCCATGTATACTCCAAATTCCTCGTCCCATTTGGGTGGGGTGCACTGAGGGGGTGGAAGTTCCTCATGAGTTGATTGGTTTACGTCAATTTCGTAACAAGTACAATTCGTAGTTTTGTTGTGGTAGCTATAGACACTTGAATTATACCACGTGACATTAATGTTTGTGACATTGCTTGTTGAGATGTTTCCGACATCTTCCTGATTGGTTGTTTCATTACAAAGTTTATTTCCATTAATAGTTACAACATTCCCCGCGATGTCGGTCCGACTGCAGTTGTCACTTTCCATATCGCTATGAGTGCTGATCGTCACTCTCTTCCCAGTTTTGTTTCTGATATGATTTCGTCTCAATGAATAATGTACGATGTTATTCTGGTTATATTCCGAATTTGCACGAAGTTTATCAACAGTTGAGTTAGATTTGGTTAGGTCTCTATTCGCTGGTAAGATGTTCATACAAATACAAYGCGTCTTGCGCGTTGAGTTGRGCAACATATAGCTTGAGTTACCACTGTCCGTAGTGGTATTGCTAAACACTGTAGCGTTATTATAACTATTGTTTCTATGACTACTGTAATCCAAGCTTGAGTTGTTCGGAATTGTTATATTATAAAACTGTCGCTTGTCATTACTGGAAGGGTTACCATGACTACCATGTTTTTTGTTAACGTGTTTCTCTCCATTTTTAGTAGTAACAGTTGGATRAACGCTACCAAATCCATGGTTACTATTCCTTCCCTCGTTACTATTGGCAACATTTCCAATATTTACAATATTTCCGTGTGATAAATCACGTTTTAAACGACCTTGGTGATGGTTTCCATGAAGAACTGCATCTTTAATTCTGGAATGAATAAGGAATTTTTCAAAAGTTCCATTGTCAGTGGGCTTATTAGTTTGTATGTTACTATGGTCACTACCAGAAARGGTACCATTTTTGTCATGGATACGTGTACAATTTTCGCAGAGTTTCRTTGTCTGATTTGCACGAAATATTCTCACACCACAGGTAACCCGCATAGTAGCATTAATYGTGTCGATGGATGCCAGGTACAGAGMGTTGAACTTGAAAGTCGTCTTGTTATCCAGTCTAYTTAGTATTATTGTGTGGCGCTTGATTGCAAACCTACATACATGCAGAAATTCGAGTTAGTCTTATATCAGCTGCACAGATGGGATATCCATTTCTCTATTAAAAGTAATATCTCTATAAAAGTAGCAAACCATTTGATTAACATTATCATCACGATCATCCTTTATCATCATCATCATTATCATCATAACACCTACCCATTGTCAATCATAGGGACTTTCAATTCAGTCAGCTCACTTTTCACGTGCATGATACAAGATTCGACAAACATACACTGTTGTTCTCTAGTTTTGTTGACGGTGACACTGAAATACATGTATGGAGATGTTGCTGCTACCGTAAAGACGTCTTCTAGCCGTATACGAGTGGAGAAATTTCCTTCCTTATAAAGATGCACTTGCACAGGAAGCTGTTTTTCTGTTTTTAGACAATGTAAAAATTGTTAGCACAAAGACTTTATCAAGACTTTACAAGAATAATTAACGGCGAATAGCGCTGGAGTATAGCAAGTATGAGTCAAGTGCACATGCACAAACTGCAACAATTTTGCCGTTAAGTGACTCGTCCTGTGTAAAAACCTTTCAATTCAATACAATACCAGGCTTTGTTTCCGAGATCGTTGAAATGTGTGTCGTCCTACG